GCCCCGGGACCGCTGCGCCCCCGCCGACCCTGCTCGTGCGCCCTGCCCAGGGCCCCGCAGTGCGCGCTGACCCGCAGGAGGCTGTGGAAGAAGGGCCGTTCCAGCCAACGGCGTGAGGCCGCGGGCAACCCCGGGGTCTGGTAAGTTTAGGGAGCTCTGCGCTGGAATGGGGGGCGGTCTTGTCTCGAAGCTGCCGGGGGCCGGGCCGCGGGCCGCAAGCCTCCAGCGTGCTGGGGTCTGCGGTGACCCCGTGCATTCCTACAGAGCTTGCGAGAGCAACCTGGGACGGTTTGAGGCCTTGCCCCGCTGCATCCGGAGCAAGGTTATAGACATTTCAGACAGTCGCTTGCTCCTCTCCGGGCCTGGTGTGCTGGGCACCCGTGTGGGTCTACACTGCCCCATGGGACCACTTAGCCACGTGGGCTTAAATTAAGTAAACTTTTTAAATTCCGTGTGTTTTTTTTTCCACAGTATCCACGTTTCAGGTGCTCAATAGCGACATGGGGCAAGTCACCCACTGGGTTGTAGTGCAGGTCACAGAACAGCCATGTTTTTGCAGAGGCTGTTTTGGGGTTTTGGGTCTTGCTAATGTTCCAGGCTCCTGACGAATTTTGTCTTATATCCTGAACAGCCTTACAGACGTTGAAAGTGGAGCTCAAGGGGAGTGGGAGGAGAGGAGGCAGGTCAGCTGCAGAGAGTAGGAATAGAGAGCAGTAATGGGCACGAGCCCTGTCCTGGGGGACTGAGGGTTCAGGAGACAAACCTAAGAGAACCCCAGGCTAAATTCTGCAGGGGATGAATGGCGGGTGAGCTCTGTGTGCCCATGGGAGAGGAGAGCAATGGTGTTGGCTAGACTCTTTTGCGAAACTTACTAATTCTGCACCCAGAGTATGCACTAATATAGTGGTTTATTGCTTCTTTAGCCATGTTCAAAGGGAGTGGGGAGAAACTTACAAAAATAGTGGCTCATCCAGGATTGTCTTCCTTCACTGGCTCATCCTTTGGCTTTTTGGAGCTCAGACTCTAAGCTGTGAGCTCTGCCTCATTCTCTGCCAGCCCCCTGGGCCATGCAAGAGGCTCACTGGGTGTGTATATCTGGGGCCTTCGAGGAAGCCCCCCCTTCCACTGTCTCCTTGCTCGGCTGGTCATTTGTAAGGGTGAAGCTTGTGGTCCTGGAGTTGGAGCATCCTGGCACTTGCAGCGTCTCCTCCTTGGGATTTGACTTTGGCATCTCGGGCTGTGCTTCCTCCTGGGGCTCCACGTGGGTGGCAGACTTCTTGTCAGAGCTGGGCACAGCAGTCTGTGAGGGCTCAGTGCCCTGGGGGCTCTCCTCCTCTTTGTTGACGGCTGCATAGGACATGCTCCGGGCCTTTGGCTGCACCCAGCCGTGGTCAAGGACCTCATCAATTTGCAGCCTCCGCTTGACGTCCGGCTGTAGCATGCGGTAGATGAGGTCCTTGCATTCGTTTGTCAGGTGCTTTGAGCGAGGGAAGTTGACGCGGTGCTCCTTCTGGATGCGCAGCATCTTCTTGATGTTGGAGTCGTCGTAGGGCATGGAGCCACAGACCATGATGTAGAGGACAACGCCCAGGCTCCAGATGTCATAGACCTTGGGCTGGTAGGGGATGCCCTGCAGCACCTCGGGGGCAGCATATGCTGCTGACCCGCAGAAGGTCTTGCTCAGTGTCAGCCGGCCGCTGTCATCCCGCAGGCAGCGCTTGGAGAAGCCGAAGTCAGACAACTTGATGTTGAAGTCCTTGTCGAGGAGGAGGTTCTCGCACTTGAGGTCTCGGTGGACAATGTCCAGGTCGTGGCAGTACTTAATGGCCGAGGAGAGCTGGTAGAACTTCTTGCGAGCATCGTCTTCGTGCAGGGCTCCCCGGGTTTTAATGAACTCGAGGAGGTCACCCTGGGCCCCGAGCTCCATGACAATATAGACCTTGCCCTCCGACGTCTCGAAGATCTCATAGGTCTTGACGATGGAGCGGTGGTTTAGCATGATCAGAATCTCAATTTCCCGGGGAAGGAATTTCTCCAAGAAGTCCGTGGGGGCTTTCTTGCGGTCAATGATCTTGACCGCCACGTTGAACTTCAGGCGCTCAGAGTAAGCGGATTTGACTTTTGCATATGAGCCTTCTCCCAAATTTATCCCCATTATGTAGCCTCGTCGCTTGAGGACGGCAGCATCATCCATGGTGCCAGGAGCACCCAGTGCCTCTGAGGCTGCCCTCTACACACCTGTGAGACATGGGCCAGTGGTGTCCTCATTTACACTGGACAGAGAGTCCTCTGGGCTGGCCGGGCCTCCAAGAGGCCCAGACTCTGGGGTGGAACGTTCAGCATTGTCTCCCAGGTGACTTCAGTGGGTGAAGTCATAAAGGAAGGGTGCCCTAGGGGAATGAGGCTCTGGCTTGAGCCACTTAGACTCAGAACCCTGGAAGGCTGGCCAGTGGACTGGGGACGACTGAAGGCCTGCAGAGAGTGGCCTTGCACTTGACTGGGACCTGAGGTGTGAGGGGGCTGTGGGGACACATTGGTCTGCCCGTGCCTCCAATTCCAGAGCCAGGACGGCTTGTCGAGCAGAGGGGCTGATTACTGCACCCAGGAAACCCAGGCCAGGTGGTTATATCAGTCTGGGTCCCAGCAGGAAACAAGAGTACTCCATTTGAGGCACTCTGCGGGTTTCATAAGGGCATAATTTTCAAAAGTGGAAGCAGAGTTCAGGGAACCCCAATGATAATCACAGTCCTGGAAAGAGGGAGGGGGGATCACTGGAACCTGGGAAAGGCAGTGTAGAAAGGGTGACCTTGAGAGAGGCAGTGACCTTAGCTGAAGGCCACAGTGACCCCCACAGGCATGGAACTGGGAAGAAATGTCCTGGATCCTTTTTGAGTTTTTTTTGATATGTCTATTGATGTCAGAGAGAGACACATCGGTGATGAGTCATTGATTGGCTGCCCTCTGCACGCTCCCTACTGGGGATCAAACCCACAACCCGGGCTTGTGCCTTGACCAGGAATCAAACCCCGATCTCCTGGATCCTAGGTCAATGCTCAGCCGCTGAGCCACGCTAGGGGGTCAAATGCCCCTGCTCTTTTTTCCCTTCCTTCAATCCTGGAAGCCCTTGCTTGTCACCTTTTTTCCCTTTCAGTCCTGGTACCCCTTGCTTGTGCCCACACAGGTGGAGTGGAGAAGGGTCTAAGTGGTTTCAGGGGGGTGGGCAAAGACTCTAGGCCCCGGGGTCACTGCCTTTAGGACACCAGGGCTCTGCCCTCCACGTGGTTTGGCTGGACTCACCTCCTTCACTTTTCTTTCCTTTTCCAAATCATTGCCAGCCTGCTCCTTTGGCTGGTTCTGTGCGGGGGACAGCTGGCAGGGGTTTCTGCTCTTGCGTGTTCCCTCCTGGGGGACTGCACAGACTGTAGCTGTGACTGGGCTTTCAGGGCAGATCTGGGGCTGCGGGCAGAAGCTGAACCTGGATCCCACTTTGCCTGCGGCTGCTCCTGGAATGGTCCAAGGACAGTGCAAGTGAAGAGGTCAGCAATAGACAGGGCCAGTTTCTGCCGGCAGTGGAGCCCTCTGCTGTGGCAGCCCTTTGTCTATCACCTGTTTGCGCCATACCCTGAGGAGCAGGAGCGGGCAGGGCTGGCCTAGCCTTTGGTTTAACCTTGGTGGTATCTGCCCAGAGAGAGCTGGTGCCTCTCATATGGCCCAGCTTGGGATGGCCCAAGCACACTTGGACCATGCAGGCACCATCCCCCTCGGCCTTGCTGGTGGAGGGCGTGATGTGGCAAAGTCGAAACCAAGGTGCCCAAGGCAGATGGAGTAACCCACCTGCTTGCCATAACAGAGCCTCTTAGACCAGGTGCACAGCACGGAGGGTGCAGTGCTTTCACCCAGTTTAAATCTTTGAGAACCACTCTAGGGTGGCATTAGGTCCAGTACAGATGACAGGGTCAGAATTCTGTGTCCAAGCTCACCCAGCCAGAAACTAGCAGGTTGGGAGTGGACAACAGGCCTCCAGCCCAGCAGACCTAGAGGGAGGCATGGATTTTAGAAGCTGGAGGGAACACCTGTGTTCTTGGTGTGCGGGCTGTTGGGTACAGTCAGGGGTGGCCAGCATAGTCCTGGTGGGGCAGTGCTTCTGTGCCCGCTGCATGGCGGGGTCACACCACCCTTTCCTTGAAGGTAGAGGCTCCAGTGGACTCCGACCTGTCCAAGTGCAGACAATGGACACACCAGCCTCGGCGGAGCGGCCATCGGGAGACACTTATTTGTCCGTGAGTCTTGTGTTTCTTCAGTTCTGGGAGCAAGGCACTGGCTGCCCTTCTGCCCAGACTATCCAAGGTTTTCGAGACAGCCTTGGGGTGGGCAAGGTAGCCCCTCCCACCAGAACAGAGAGCCCGGGAGCTAATGGGCAAGCCACGCCCCTGCCCCCCCTTCCCGCAATCACTGCTCTCTCCTGCATGCAGAGCACAGTGGCCTTGCATTGCCCTGTAGGAATTGGAGCTGTTGGGAAATCCTGATGCTACAATTACTGCTGATGTGAAGAACCAGTCTGTCTCATTGAGGACTCAAGCTTCCTCCCAGCATCTGTAAACCTGGAGGGTCAGACCCTTCACCGTTCCTGCGGGGCACCTCCCCCCAGCAGACTGCTGTGTGTCCCTGCCCCAGCCCATGACACTTGGCAGTTCTCCCTCCCCCGTGTTTCAGCCCCAGAAATCCCAGGATGTCAGAGCTAGAGGAGACCCGAGAGAGTAGTGGCCCTCAGGCTGGTCCAGGATCTTCAGTGGGCATTATGCAGGAGTTCCTGGCCAAGACGGTCAGAACCATCCACTTGTTCTGGCCTTTCCATATTGAGTCAGGTGACTTGAGTCCCAGAAAAGCTAACTGACTTCAAGCTGACACAGTGGCCTGGTGTCAGGGCTCTCGGAGCCGAGTCTGTCAGGCATTTGATTGCCTCTGGTTTTGGGTTTGCCATGCGCCCTTTCCCCCTAGGAGTTTTCTAGGTCAGCAGGGTGTGGGCCTGGACAGGGCGGGCTGCCACATTGGCTCTGCTCACAGTGGAGTCAGGAGTGGGAGCCCAGGTGTAGTTATTGCCACTCTGGCCACAGGCAGATATAACAGCCTCTGGCTCTATGCTTACCTCACTGAGTTTTTACCACAGGCCTCAGGGTTTTTTTCAATTTCGTTGTTTTTACGGATGAAATCGATGCTGAAAGGTGGGAGACCCACCGTGCTGGCACACCAGGAGGGTGCAGCAGAATTTGAACCCAGGCCTTGGCTCCTGACTTCCCTGAGCAGGTTCCAGTCCTCACTGCTCCCTTTCTGCAAGGAGTCGGGAATTCCTGGTTCTTGGCTGGGATTGGGTGGCTCCGGGCCTGGTGTCTGACTGACATTCTCTGACCCCAGGTTTTGACATTCTGTCTTCATCTTGCTTGAGAAACAAGGGACGTGTAATAAACAGATTTTAAATGTGTGATTCAGCCTCGTTCTCTCCTTTCCACAGTATGCTCAGTACAAAAAGAGAAAGACCTGCCCTTGAGGGCGTTTGAGCTGAATTGAAGTGCCTCCCATCCCCCCACTTGAACCTTTGTAAAGGGGGGGGGGCGGGGGCTGTGCCCGGGAGGTTTATCTTGAGATACTGGGGTGGATTCTGCATCTGTGCCAAGCACCCTAGTAAGAGTGCCGCACCCGCATTGTCTGCTTTATAAGCACATGGTCACAGCCCAGTATTGTGTACACGGGTTAACCCCCAAGGCCCACGTGAGCGGGAGTGACGGGCTGGGCTGACAGAGCTAGTTTCACATTCAGTTGGCTAGTGATGAGCAAAGGGAAGAGTACCCAGAGGTCCCTGCACCCGAGTCACGTCAGCCACACCCTGAGGCCCAGGCAGAAAGCCTCACCGCAGAACCAAAAGTAGAGGGACCCTCCTGGCAGTCGGAGAGTGGAGGTGTCCTCAGAGCAGCTCCCCTGCGCCTTTAGAGGACTGGCTGGGCTGAGGCGTGCAGTGTGCGAGCTTGAGATTAGGCGATGTAGTCAGGCCCTAAGTGGGTGCCTGTGGGTGGGGACCAGTGATGTGCTGCCCAGGTCAAAGGCATCGGCCAGGGGCCCCGCAGGGAGGTGGAGGCATCTTGAAACTGGTCCAGATGGGACAGGAGAGGGACACTGCTGCCCCACCCTCACTCCTGTCCCACCGCCTTCCCTGCCCAGCTGTGGGACACTGCAGGCCTGGCCACCCCCTGTACTGCCTGGGACAAGGCTGAGGCTGACCAGCAGCCCACAGGTCCAGCCACGCCCTGGAAGGGAAAAGATTTTTGGTGTGATGTCACCTTGGCCTCACGAGATACATGAGGTGGTGGGTGGGGACTTTCCTGCAAGCTGTGGGGTGGAGAGCGTGGTCAGGCTCAAGGTCACAGCAGCAGCATCTAAAGCCAGGCCCTGAAAGCTGAGTCCCTGACCTTAAAAAGGTCTTGACATTTTTACTGGGGGGAAAATACCCCAAAGAAAACTTCTGTGATGTGAAAATTTTGCCAAGTTCGGGTTTCACTATCCCCGGAGTTTCACTGGGGATGTTCCTCTCGGGTGAGTGTTCATGCAGACCTGGGATGTTGACCTCAGAAGACAGGGGAAGTGAAACCCTGCTACTGCCTCGCACAGACCTCCCCACGCTCTCTTGAGCTTCAGTTTGGAAAGCCCTTCAAAAGCACCAGCCCCAGAGGCGGGGCTGAGGGGTCTCTGCAGCTTGGGTGGGTGACATGGGACCCCGTTTGCAAGAGGAGAGGACCCCAGGGTGGAGCCAAAGCCTGTCTGTGGGAGGCTCTCAGGCCAGTGCACTGGGAGCTCAGCCTGGGTTCATCCCACACTTAAATAAGCACTTTTCAATTTTATTAAATATGTATTCGTTGTAAGGTACTTGAGGGAGGAGAACCCTTGCACGTCAGTTATTTCAGAGATTGAAAAGTGAATTGGTTGAGAGACAATTGTTAAATAAAGTAGGTTTTTTAGAGCAGAATCCCAAAGGCGGCACACGGATGACTGGAATTTAGGGGGTACTCTGTGTGCCCTGCCGAGGGAAGGGATAGGAGAGAACAGCCTGCCCCACCTGGAGGACACCTGTAGTCAAGGGATGCTGTTTGGATACAGAACTGAGCCACTTCTAACTGCTGCCTGGTCTGCAGAGTGAGGGGACCGGAGAGTGGCTGGTGCTGTTCCTGGTCCTTTCTACTGAAGGGACAGGTGGGTGGGCCCTGAGCACAGGAGAGAACCTTCTGGGAGACATTCAGAGGCAGGTGAATCTGGACTCCCAACTGGCCCTGCAACAGGTCCCACGTGAAGCTGGGCTTGTCCTTCACATCCTGGGGTGGTCTCTGCCCCAGAGGCCAGGGCATCGGTGTTTTCTCACTTTCACCAAATGCCATTTACCCTGAACCCCACCAGTGCCGAAGGCTGAGGGCTGACAGACACAGGCACGTGGGGTGAAGTAACCAACTGTCAGGGAGTCTTTCCTTTTGGTTGGTCCTGCAGGTGACTCCCTCCCATGTGGCAGGGCTGGGGGCCTCTGCTGCTGGGGTTGGGTGGATTGGAGATCGGAGGGTTGGGCTTCCTCGGGGGCCAGAAGGAACCCTCCCTGCAGAGCAGCACTAGCCAGCCCGCCCAGGAAGCAGGGTCAGAGCCCCTCGGGAGGGAAGGCAGCCCCTCCCCGGGCCAGAACCCACTTCCTACTTCACCGCACTCGGGGAGGCGGCAGGGAGAGCTGTGGGCAGAGGCCAGGCCTGCTCCCTCCGCCCTCTGCGCAGGAAGATGGGGCAGGCCGGCAACCTGGACTGGGTGCTCCCCGCTGCCGGCAGGCTGGAGGATGAAGAAGGCCCCGAGTGCGGCAAAGCGGACTTTGTGCTTTTGGACCAAGTGACCATGGAAGACTTCATGGAGAACCTGAAGCTCAGGTGGGCCCAGGGCCCTGGCGCCCTTCTCCCTGGTCCCCAGTGGGGGGGGAGCTGCCTACACAGCCACCCAGACTGCCCTATGGGTCACCGCAGGGGGGCTCCGTGGGGCAGGCAGCACTGTCCCTTCAGGGCTGGGGGGGTGGGGCTGGCCAGCCCTCGCTCCAGCTCCTCAGACTCCTGCCTCCCACACAACCAGTGCTTTCTGCCCCCTTCTTCCTGGCACCCAAACCAGCACCCAGACTGCTGGACACCCCATCACCCTCGTGGGGCCCAGCTGAGCTGAATGAGTCTCGGGGGCACGTGGGTACTGCAGGGCACAGCTGGTAGAGTGACAGGAGGCCCGATTTCCAATGGAGAAAGGCAGAGGGCAGGGAGGAGCCTGGGTCAGGCAGTGACATGCGGTGGCTGGCAGGAGCCGGCCTCACCCCTGGGCAGCCACGGGGAGCAGAAGGCAGCCCCACTGAGCAGACTGCTGGAGTCAGAGGACAGAAGGGAGCTACTTTGTGTGGGGCGCTGAGCTAAGCACCTCTCATTCATACAAACCGGCTTATGAGAGCATCACATCTCCATCCTGACCTGGACACTGAGCCCCGGCCACTCAGCTGACACATGAGAAAGTGTCTCTGAGTGGGTCCCTGGTGGCAGGTCCCGGGTGGCCGTTGGGGGGGAGGGGGGCGGGTGTAGCAAGGAAACTCCCCCGTCAGAGGCAGCTGAGGAAGAGGAACTCTAATGGGTGCCAGGGGAAGGGCAGTTCCCAGACACCCTGGGGAGCAGGCCTACCAGTGCTCCCCACAATGCAGGCACCCCCGCAGGTGACTGGGGTCCTGAAGGGAGGGGTTGAGAAGTCGAGATGTGCTGGGGGAGGGTGGGGGCCGCTGCAGCCCCAGGTACCTTCCCGGCACCCCTCCCAGGCCCTGCCGTCTGGGTGTGGCTAGGCGGGGTCCCCTCCTGGCACTGGGTCCCGCCCAGGTCTTGAGACAGGAAATAGCCGAGGCCCCACCCTCTGCCTCCCAGCCCCTGTCAGTCGTGGCTGTAGCCTGTCTCCCTACCTGCTGGCTCTGCCTTGCCCAGTGTGACTCTGGACAAGTTGGTCCCTTCATAAAATGGGTGCTTTCAGGACCCCGTGGAGAGCAGTGTGGACCCCAACACTACATTCCGGGAAGACAGGGCCACCACCTTCCTTTCTCCAAACTCAGCCCAGGGGTGGGCCAGGGCTCAGGAACTGGGTGCTGGGCGCTTGAACCCCTGGCCCTGAGAGCTGAGGGGGGGCCCCGCCTTTGCCAGGTTCAAGCAGGGTCGCATCTACACCTACATTGGCGAGGTGCTCGTGTCCGTGAACCCCTACCAGCAGCTGCCCCTCTATGGGCCCGAGGCCATCGCCAGGTACCAGGGCCGCGAGCTCTACGAGCGGCCGCCCCACCTGTACGCCGTGGCCAACGCCGCCTACAGGGCCATGAAACGCAGGTCCAGGGACACCTGCATCGTGATCTCAGGTACCCCGTTGGACCCCAGCATCTTTATTTTTGAGAAATGGGAGGTGACTGGAGCACCCGGGGGAAGTGGGCATGGGGCTGTGCGGGGGGGACTGCTCACTCTGTCTCTCCGGCAGGGGAGAGCGGGGCGGGGAAGACGGAGGCCAGCAAGCACATCATGCAGTACATCGCTGCCGTCACCAACCCCAGCCAGAGGGCGGAGGTCGAGAGGTGAGGGCAGCCGGCTGGGCAGGGGCTGGACAGCAGGAGGCACCACGGAGCCCGGGGGCCGTGTTGGGAAGGCTCCTGTGCCCCACATCAAGGGCTTCTCAACCGAGGCGAGGGGAGGCGAGACCCAGTGCCGGGGGCACCTTGCCACAGGAAGGGTGTGGAGGGCCCACAGACGGCGGTGCTTGGCTTCTCTCGGGGCACGGGACAGAGTGGAGACGTTGCCCGGCCAGGAAGGCCCAGGATGCCAAGTCAGGTGTTGGGTTTAGGCCGGGAACCGGAAATCAGGGCCGGCCTGCTGCTCACCAGCTTCCTGTGTGGAAACCTGCTCTTCCTGTGGACAGACACGGGGTGACGTGGGGCTTGGGAGACAGATGTTGCTGAGCATGTGGCTGGCAGCTGCTCTCCCTGCAGCCGGAGGTCGATGGTGGAGCGTCCGGACTCAGGACCTCACGGCAGGCTGCAGCTGGCTGGGGGCAGGCGGGAGGTGCCTGGCAGGGCCGCTCCGGGCATCTCAGGGTGAAGGGCTGTCCATGGCCTGTAAAGGGAAGCTCAGAGCATGGCTCAGACTGGGACACTGGACTGCTGGACGGTCCCCTGCTGGAGGTCTTTACATTGTAGCCCCAACCTGTGCCCTCCTGCAGGGTCAAGGATGTGTTGCTCAAGTCCACCTGTGTGCTGGAGGCCTTCGGGAATGCCCGCACCAACCGCAACCACAACTCCAGCCGCTTCGGCAAGTACATGGACATCAACTTTGACTTCAAAGGAGACCCCGTGGGGGGACACATCCACAGCTACTTACTGGAAAAGGTAGATTGCACAGGCCTCTCCCTCCCAGGCCCAGGGCCCTGGGGGCAGGAACTTACCTTCTTTGATGTGCCAGGTTCACAGAGTGGGGCTCCCTCTGTGGCCAGGGTAGCCACCCTGCTACCTGCACTGCCCTGGGGCTCTGGGCCTGTCCCCTGGGGGCCCCCTCCACCCAGGCACATGGGTCCAGCTTCCCCTCTCTCCTCAGTCTCGGGTCCTCAAGCAGCACGTGGGTGAAAGGAACTTCCACGCCTTCTATCAGGTGAGCCAAGGCAGGCCCGTGGGCAGTCCTTCCCAACACCCCGCCTACAGTCCATTTTCTGGCCCCTGCTGTGCCCCACCCTCACTGGGGTGGGTTCTCCTGGGACACAGCCATGTGTTCAGGACTGACCCTGAGGTGAGTTCTACCTGGACATGGGTGGTGTCTACACAGAGTGAGACCCACTGAGGTCTCCTGGGCCACGGGCATCTCTACACCATGTCATTGAGGTGAGTTCACTCTGGACACAGTTGGTGTCCAATGCATTCTGACCCACCAAATTGGGGTCTCCCATAACACATGCGGTGTACGACCACATCTGACCACTGAGGTGGGACCTCTCTGGACTCAGGCAGTGTCTGCATCAATCTGACCGACTTACTTGGGTTCTACCGGGTTACGCGCAGTGTCCGACCACTGAGGCAGAATCTCTGTATTCGTGTGGTGTCTACACCACGTCTGACTATTGAAATGAGTTCTCAGGCTCGTTCAGTGTTGACACTGTGTCTGAACCTGAAGTGGGTTCTCCCTGCACTCGGGCAGTGTCCACAGGGTCACGGAGCACCCATGGTTGGCTGGGTGCTGTCCTGCCTGTGGGCAGGGCCTGACCCAAGGGCGTGTCCTCCAGGTGCTGCGAGGCTCTGAGGATGCGGAGCTGCAAGAACTGCACCTGCAGAGAAACCCCGCCCTGTACAACTTCACCCGCCAGGGCGCAGGGCTCAGTGTGAGTGGCGGCTTCAGGCGTGCTGGGTGCCCAGCGGCACCAGCAGGGCCCCCCCGATTCAACAGGCTTTCAGTGCAGGGGATGGGGCACGGCGTGTGGGGGGTGCCGTGCCTGAGCACGCGCTGGAGCGCCGATCCCCTCCTCCCCCAGGCCTCGGACAGCGAGGAGAGGAGCCACCACCAGGCGGTGACGGAGGCCATGCGGGTGATCGGCTTCAGCGAGGAGGAGATGTGCTCTGTGCGCCGGATCCTGGCAGCCATACTGCACCTGGTGCGCGCCTCCCATGTGCTGTCCTCGGGTGCACCTTAGGGAGGAGGCTGGTCTCCGACAACCCAGCCATGTAGCTGCCCCTCCTCCCTGTGCTGGAGCCCAGATGCTTAGGCTGTGGGTCCCTGAGCCACGGGCTGCATGTGCCCAGACTGCGGCCATTCCGGCCTGGGAGCTGCCAGGCCCTTGTCTGGTGGATGAGCCCACGCGTAGCAGGCAAGGGCGGTCCTGGCTGGTCAGCCGAGCATCGTGCAGACCTGCCTCTTGATTCTGTCCCTGAAGAGCTGTGTGCCTCTGGCCTGTGTTCTCTCTGAGGTAGCACATAGCCAGCGTGCTTGGTGGGAAGCCTTGGGGAAACCCCTGGCTGCTGGGGGCCCTCCCCCATCTCGGGCTATGCCCCTGCCACCCCTTACCCCTCCCCGGGCAAAGGCGTGCAGGCTCTTCTGGGGCAAGGAGCCTGAGTTTCCCCGGTTTCCCCATCACCAGGGAAATATTGAATTTGTGGAGATGGAAGAGGGGCACCTGGCTGTGGCCGAGGAGGTGCTGGTGGACCACGTGGCTGAGCTGACGGCCACGCCCCGGGAGCTGGTGATGCGCTGCCTGCTGGCACGCACTGTAGCCTCCGGGGGCAGGGAAGTCATTGAGAAGGGCCATACTGCAGCCGAGGCCAGCTACGCCCGGGACGCCTGTGCCAAGGTACTGTGGGGCGGGCAGTGTGGGGAAGAGCCCAGGAGGCCTTCCTGGGGGAAGCAAGGCCAGAGGCAGCCAGAAGCAGCTCGGGCTCTCCCCAGGCGGTGTACCAGCGGCTGTTTGAGTGGGTGGTGAACCGGATCAACAGTGTCATGGAAGCCCGGGGCCGGGACCCCCGGCGGGACGGCAAGGATACAGTCATCGGCGTCTTGGACATCTATGGCTTCGAAGTGTTCCCTGTCAACAGGTGGGCAGCCCAGCTCTGACCCCCAACCTCTAGGACCCCCTCAGTCCCAGGGAGCTTGGCTGGCTGGGGAGCGGGATGTCTGGTGTCTGTCCTGGCTGGTCCCTGACCCCAGGGTCACATCCAAGCCTGCCTCAGTAGTGCCACCCATTCAGTGATACCCGGGAAGGCAAAATCCCAAGCTCACTTCCCCTTGCTGTGGGCACATGTGCCAGAGGTGGGGCCCAGGGGTAAGGAAGGGCCCAGCTCGGGAGAACCACCCCACAGTGAGGCCATGGTGGGGGGGCTGGCACCGGACCCCGTGAGCCAGCTTCAGAGGAGCTGCTGGGGCGAGGCTGCCACATGGAGCAAAAGCCCACACCGGCAGTGGCGTGATGCTGGTGGGCCCCTGCCCAGCTTCGAGCAGTTCTGCATCAACTACTGCAATGAGAAGCTGCAGCAGCTGTTCATCCAGCTCATCCTGAAACAGGAGCAGGAGGAGTACCAGCGGGAGGGCATCGCCTGGCAGAGCGTGAGTGCCCGCCGCCCTGCACCACGGGCCCTGGCGGGGAAGAGGCGCTGGGCGGGGGGAGAGGCCAGCCGGCCAGGCTGGGAGCCGCCCGCTCACTCTGCGGCAGGTGGAGTACTTCAACAACGCCACCATCGTGGACCTGGTCGAGCGGCCCCACCGGGGCATCCTGGCCGTGCTGGACGAGGCCTGCAGCAGCGCCGGCACCATCACAGACCGGATCTTCCTGCAGACCCTGGACACGCACCACCGCCACCACGCCCACTACACCAGCCGCCAGGTGCCCCCCTCCTGCGCGCACCCCACCTCCCAGCCCCAGCTGGTCATGGTGCTGGCCTGCGCCCCACAGGCACCACGCTGCCCAGCTCAGAAGGGCCATAGTGGTGGCCCGGCGCCCCCTGCAGGACTGTCCACCCCTTCCCTGCAGACCCCCC